TGTGCGTGTCTCTCCAGGGGCCTGGTGTTCAGTGTGGTGTGCGTGTCTCTCCAGGGGCCTGGTGCTCAGCGTGGTGTGCGTGTCTCCCCAGGGGCCTGGTGTTCGGCCTGGTGTTCAGCCTGGTGTGTGTGTCTCTCCAGGCTCGGGCGCTTCCTGCAGGCGGTGGTGGAGGAGCGGCCTGCGGAGGAGGGGGCTGGGTCTCGGGATGTCCTGGACGTGGGAGAGAGGGAGGGCGGCTGTGGGAAGATCACACCGGTGGAGCTGACGTGGGAGGAGCACAGCTTCGGGAAGGGGGGTGTGCAGGTGTATGAGAACGCGGGGGCTCGTGCCTCTGTGTGCTCCGCCTTCCGGCTCAGGTAACCCCGCCCAGTCACCTCACTGCACACACCTCATCATCACGTGGAGCGCAGGCCTCCCCTCCCAGCCTGACCTCCATTAAATCAAGACAGAGAGCGTAGCGTCTCAGCGACCCTTTTATTTTACCTGAAAGAGCGTTCACTTCTTAATCCCTTCTGGTTTCAAAGCACGATCTAATGGGTGGTGTGAGCAAAGCCTAGTAAAGCCAGGCCTTTTTAGGAATAAATATGCTCTTTGTGTTTAAATACTGAAAATTATTTCTTATTTTTTGCCAGCAGATTATTCACTTTTTTACTTAAATTTTACTGGTTTAGCAAAAAGCAAAATGGCTTTTGAATCAGTCAGTTCCTTAAGTGATGTATATTTACTCAGTGAATTTTGTTTTAAAAAATATTTTCCCCCGTCTCACATTTTGAGTTGAAAATAAAGTGGGAAAACTGTTTTTTAAAGGTTGTTTTTATTATATAAAGGAGTTTTCTTCCCTTTCCTACTTTAGTTAGAGATTGTGAATGTACAGTGATGTCAAAATCATTCTGTATTTGTACAATCAATGTTGAAAAGCTGTGTAATAGAGAATTTATTCATTGTACCTTTTATGGAAACATTCTTGGACTTTATTAAGTAAATTCAAAGAGTGCAGCTGTAGACTTTTTTTTATTAATTAAACTAATGTAACTTGGCAGTTGTGCAAAGAATGACTTTGCCATAGGTTTTATTATGATATGGGTCTGGTCTTATGCCTCAGTGGGAAGCTCTGTGTTGTTTGTACTCAAGGCCCGACACAGAGCCTGGGACCGGGTTGGAAGAAGGCCTGACTTCAGTTGAGACGGTGAAAGGCTTTGCGTCAACGCTAGTGCCCCTTCTGCTGGAGGTGTGGGTAGAGGCCTCAACGAGTGAGCAGGGCAGCTCTGAGAACGCACACCTGCTGCACCCCGAGGCCATGTCGCTTATGTACCAGGTCCTGAACATCCTCCAGCTGCTGCGCTGCCTGGCTCCACAGCGCCACGACCAGGCCGAGCTGGTAAGAGCCCTTTCACACCAGCAGAGCCTCTAAAATGCTATTTCCTACCTGTTTCTTAATTTTGTCTGGCCTATGGGGAGTATTTCTAAAAATAGACATTAAAATATATTTTAATGAAAGTATCCATGTATGAAGTGCCTCAGTGCAACAGGCAACGTATGTTTTAAATTTTGTGCATATATTTGACCATTCCCCCATGTCCTTGTAATTCATGCAGAATATTTAGTCCAAATAAAGGAAATGTTTGTTATGTACATTTTCAGCACAACATTTGATTAATGTGTCCCTCCTAATCTGGTACTATTCATAATAATTGAATTGGAAATGACTTATTTATGAGTAGTGCTGTAATAAGAAGAATACTTTATTGCTTTTATCAAATGTTATTTTTAATGAATGTGTGCTATTTACTAAAGTTTGGAATTTTTCTTAGTGCACTTTTCCTTGGAGAACTTCCTGGGGTATGAGGGCAGCCCCGGATGTGTCTTGCGCACCCGTATCTGAGTTTGGCAGAGGCCCTGCATGTTTCGGCTGCCGTTCGAGACGCTGCTCACTCTTGTCACCCTATGCTGTTTTAGGACGCCTGGTTCCGCAGCACCTACCTCAGTGACTTCAGACAGCACTTCATGAAGAACTTCCCTTACGCCCAGGTGGAGGTGGCTAAGCACAAAAAGAAAGGAGAGAGCAAGAGGTACGAGCCTGTACTTTGGAGGTTTCTTTTCAGAATTGAAACGGTGCACCCTTTGTGTGTGCGTTTCCGTGATGGACAGAAGATTCCCATTCCGTAGCAGTTGGATCCATGTCAGGTTTTTTCTTATGCGCTGCAGGCTCCTCAGTGTTTTGAATCTTGTTGGTTTTGACCCCACTTAAAACGCATTCTCGGTATTGTTCTTCCCACTTTTGTTTTCTTTA